ATCACGGCAGGGGACAACATAAATGGCCTTCAGTTATTGTGCCCTTGTGGGGAATCGGACCCAGGTTTTCGGCGTGACGAGCGAAAGCTTTAACCACTAAGCTACCCCTACGCCCCGGGTTACACTGTAATTTGTTCCAGCAAAAAGTCATCCTCGATTACAGAGGGTATTTTATTCACATTTTATCATAAGTACCTTAGTTTCACTTACACCATTAAATCCCTTCCTTACAATATTTTCCCTGCACATTAAATTAAAATTTTATATTAAATGAAAAGGTATTCTTTGAATTTATGGCGAATTTGACAAGCGTCGTTATCTTAAAATAATTAAATGGAATGATACATTGAAATCCGTCCACAGATGTAGGTAACTTGGATGAAGGCAGACAGTATGGTATTAGTTCTCAATTCTATTGCTACAATTAACATAGCAGAAAAGGTAGAACACATAAACAACACGTCAGTGACGTATATTTCAGCACCACTAAATGTCATACTGTTCCCACTTAAAGTCAGACAACTTTTTACAAACCCTGACACTAACACTTCACAAAGTCGATAGATCACGTTGGATAAGAACACCAGCGTATGGTTAAAAAATAGATTAGTAAAAATACCACTTCCACGTAAATAAATTCCTGTGACGTCGGAATCGTTTTTGTAAAAAAAATTTAACGACCTCGGTATACCTGCACTATGAACACTTGCCGATCCCGACATGCCTGGCATTAAAACAAATACCCGGCAAACAATCCATGTGACATAGAAGAAAATGTTTGAATTTTTCGTTCTGGTGATGTTGATCCATTATGCAATACAAAATTATCGGAACCAGTAGAACTGAGTGAGGTCGGTTTTACGCCGCAAAGAACACATTTTAGTTTCTCACAGCCTGTGGGTTTGTGTGGAAGGCAAGTTAAGCAAGTCTTCGCCATTTACCACCTTGCTGCAACCCACGAGTCTGAATTCCCCAGTCAATTATGACACGATTTCAAACCGTTAAAGCCAGTTCAGCACTAGTTGAAACAACACATGTAGATCGGTCGAAATAAAATGTCTACAAAAGACTGCGTATCTCGGTACTGTAAAGGACGTTTGGAATGGGTCAGTAAATTGAAAGGTCGCTTATCCGGATATTCAAACAGTATAGGTCAAAAATAGCCTTTCAAAAAGGCAATGAATTCATAACCTTTGTAGAGGTACGGTAAAGTCATCACTTGGTAAAGTAATCTGATTGACGGAGTTTCACTGTGTAGGGATACATTTTGGCAGTTAAATGCCAATAGCAACACACTTTCTGTCCCATTCCTGAGTATTCAACGTGGACAACATGAACTTGACGACGTCCCTCCTCGGCATACTTAGCGAAACGCCCTTGACATACTGTCCCTCCGTGGCCTTGACCCGTTTACCTGAAAATACAGGGTATGGTTATTAGTTTCAACTTTGTGGTGTGGTGATATGATTCATATCGTTGAGGTGTGGTGATATGGTTCATATCGTTGAGGTGTGGTGATATGATTCATAACGTTGTGGTGTGATAATTTTCACAACGTTAACGTTGTGGTGTAGTGATAAGTTTCATAACGGTGTGGTGTGGTGATAAGTTTCATAACGTTAACGTTGTGGTGTGATAAGTTTCATAACGTTAACGTTGTGGTGTAGTGATAAGTTTCATAACGTTGTGGTGTAGTGATACGTTTCATAACGTTGTGGTGTGATGATAAGTTTCATAACGTTGTGGTGTGATGATAAGTTTCATAACGTTAACGTTGTGGTGTAGTGATAAGTTTCATAACATTAACGTTGTGGTGTAGTGATAAGTTTCATAACGTTGTGGTGTGATGATAAGTTTCATAACGTTAACGTTGTGGTGTAGTGATAGGTTTCATAACGTTGTGGTGTAGTGATAAGTTTCATAACGTTGTGGTGTGGTGATAAGTTTCACAACGTTGTGGTATGGTGATAAGTTTCATAACGTTGTGGTGATGGGATAAGTTTCATAACGTTGTGGTGGTGTGATCAGTATCATTACGTTAACGTTGTGGTATAAGGATAAGTTTCATAACGTTGTGGTGTGGGGATAAGTTTCATAACGTTGTGGTGGTGTGATAAGTTTCATAACGTTGTGGTGTAGTGATAAGTTTCATAACGTTAACGTTGTGGTGTAGTGATAAGTTTCATAACGTTGTGGTGTGGTGATAAGTTTCATAACGTTGTGGTGTGGTGATAAGTTTCATAACGTTGTGGTGTAGTGATAAGTTTCATAACGTTAACGTTGTGGTGTAGTGATAAGTTTCATAACGTTGTGGTGTGGTCATAAGTTTCATAACGTTGTGGTGTGGTGATAAGGTTTATAACGTTGTGGTGTAGTGATAAGTTTCATAACGTTGTGGTGTAGTGATAAGTTGCATAACGTTGTGGTGTAGTGATAAGTTTCATAACGTTGTGGTGTGGTGATAAGTTTCATGACGTTAACGTTGTGGTGTAGTGATAAGTTTCATAACGTTGTGGTGTGGTGATAAGTTTCATAACGTTAATGTTATGATGTAGTGATAAGTTTCATAACGTTGTGTAGTGGTGATAAGTTTCATAACGTTGTGGTGTAGTGATAAGTTTCATAACGTTAACGTTGTGGTGTAGTGATAAGTTTCATAACGTTAACGTGTGCGGATAAGTGGTGATAACGTTGTGGTGTGGTGATAAGTTTCATAACATTAACGTTGTGGTGTAGTCATAAGTTTCATAACGTTGTGGTGTGGTGATAAGTTTCATAACGTTAACGTTGTGGTGTGGGGATAAGTTTCATGACGTTAACGTTGTTTTAGTTGTTGCGATAAAGTCTGCATGGACTGCTGCCGTTTTCAGACTTCAACCATATGAGTGAGTGAGTGAGTGAGTGAGTGAGTTTGGTTTATCTTTCTGTCAGATCACAACGAGTCGGCTGAATGAGATAAAAAAGTGGTGATCGTGGGTGACAACTATCATGATCTCCGAATTAAAAGTTAAAACAAGGACTGATCAGCTCAGAGTCCACCTTCTGTGTGGGGAATCTATGTGAAACTGGTATTTCAGACACACATATGCACGCACGCACGCACCCATACACGCACGCACACACACACGTACACACACCCTTCTCTCTCACTATCTAGTTTCACCGCCGTGATATTGCTGGAATACTGCTAAAAGCGGCGTAAAACTAAACTCACTCACTCACTCTAGTTTCACATTCTAATAATTCTTATATTCAACTTCTAGGTAATTAGTTTCAAATTAAATACCGGTTTTCTTGCCTTGGTGTGTTGTGGTAGCGACCAGTCTCAATTTTCAGATTATGTGAACTGCAAGGACACCTTTTGCGAGGTCAATTCAGAATGAAGAAAGTGTAGAACCTGTCACAGCTCCCAACTATACTGTTCGTCCTATAGCAATGCATGGAGTTCAACTATAGACTATAACTGTAATATGTTTACAAACACGTGTCTTTCCCTAGACATTTTGAGTAGTTTCTATATCATCTTGAAGTATTATTTAAGCTAAACCATCAAGTAATTGGTACGGTGCAGTTCAAACAGGTGGCACGGCCTCCGTGGCGTAGTGGTTAGAGCGTCCGCCCGGAGAGCGGAAGGTCGCGGGTTCGATCCCCGACCGCGTCATACCAAAAGACATTAAAATATGGTACTTGTTGGTCCCTGCCTGGCGCTCGGCATTAATGGGTACAACAAGGACTGGTCGGCTCGGAGTCAGTATAATGTGTCTGAGTGGGGTATTCATGCTTCACTGCGGCATGGTATCTCAGTGGGCTAGCACTATAAAACCAGCTTCATTTATGGCTAGTACAAGCAGCCGCACATACACATACACACGCATGTACGTCGTCATATGAGCGAAATATTCTCAAGCACGACGTAAAACCCACTTTCACCTCACCTCACCTCATACAGGTGGCAGCGATGTCATCGGGAGGGTAACGAAGACGACAGTGGGAAGAGGCTTGGCAATAGTGTAGGAAGGGAGACAACCCTTGAAGCACTACTCTCCAATGGAACCCGTTAATAAAACGGTTTAATCGTTCCCTATGATTGATACTTATTGTATCGGCCATGTCCGCTCCAAATCTGACAACGCTCTTTATGTGAGGAAACAAAATGATGCTCAACAAGGCGTGAAACATTTTCGTTTAACCACCAGGCGCAAGTAGGTAAGTACCTAGACTAACTTTTAGTCTCTGAAATACATTTGTATATAATTTTGATTAAAACAAATAAATTAAAATTGAAAAGGAGCACCAGTCAGATGTGAGGAAATTCAACCTCAGGGAATGTAGACTTGCTTCATTTAGAGCTTTCGAATGACAGAAAGGGCTGTGCAGAAGGGAAAATAATGTTTTTCAAAGACTTTGATATAGACTATGTACCCATTTAGGAGAACCGGGGCAGAACGTTAATATAGCCCAAGCTGTCTTTTATGTCTCAAGTTTGTGATGAGAAAGGCTGTAAAATGGTGATCGAATGTTCAACATTCAGTAATCTGACGCTAAGAGTGAATGAGTTGAATGTCACTGAATACCAATCACTGAGGAAAAGCAACATAACGTATACGTAAGTTTATACGCTAAGAGTGAGTGAGTGAGTGAGTGAGTGAGTTTGGTTTTACGCTGCTTTTAGCAATATTCAAGCAACATCACGGCGGGGGACACCAGAAATGGGCTTCACACATTGTGCCCATGTGGGGATTCGAACCCGGGTCTTCGGCGTGACGAGCCAACGCTTTAACCATTAGGCTACCCCACCGCCCCTTCAGTACTCTGACGTTGTTATAGTTACCTGTGGACGGTCCACTAGAAAGACCCGGAGCTCTAACAAAGGTGTAGTTGATGTTGTTGCAGTGCTGTCGCGCGTAGTCTTCCATGGCAGCCATAAATCGGACAGGACGCTCCCCTGAGGAAGAGCGGCCTGGAAAACCATTCTATCACCTTAGGGCTGCCTGGTGTGTCTGGAAGATAACAGTACAGATTTCATAAAGTCCGACCCCGACACACAAATATACTTCCAAAAAGGAGCCGAACTATTTTGTTAAAAACCTATAGGTTTCCAGAACACACGGAACGGTGCGCAAACAGTCAGTGTGACTGAATATTGATTTACGCCAAATTTCAGTAATATTCCAGCAATAACAGCGGGAAAAATGAGTTTCACATTTGGTAGAATCCAACGCGAATCTTCGGCGAAACGAACGAACGCGTCAGCCTCTTGCCTACCCACCGCCCTTTTGAGTGTGTATAGTCCAATAGACCGATCCAGTCTGTCAATCAAAACTGGCGCATGTGTCAATTTTGGCCAATCAGCAGGCCGGGCGCGCTGTGTGGATTTGTCAGACTTATTTCCGGGGTCAAACGACGCCTTCGAAGCGATGTGCTTTGAATTATGCCATTTACACTCGCTATATCTATTACATATTGCTGTGATTTGATGTGTACCTTTACCAAAACCATTACGATCAAGAGAAAAAAATTGAGGCGGATCAAGGAATGCGATAGGCCTAACGAGCAGTTAAATGTCGGCTACGTCGTTCACGAAACCTACGTCTGCTCGAAGGTGAGAATTTACACGAATTTACACACTTTCGCACATGTGCAAAAGCATTACCAATAGATGACAACAAATAGCAGTTTAGGATTTTGCAAGTGTTATAAACACGGACAATTCTTGTAACTACAAAATTGTTTTTGCTTTACGTTTTAGGTCACTACTAGGCATTGAGTTGGTACACCATAAACCTGAAATGAGACAGGCGAGAAAGCCGCGACACAATGTAAACAAATCTGACAGCAAGCTGATTTCGGTTAGGGTCGACTGAAATAGCAAAACTTGTTACATTAAAGAACAATGTGGTGGATATGGTTGCATTCGCGATTAGATATTCTTAAATTTGTCACACATTTTAGGATGTTTTAAAGTTTCAAAAGCACAATCTGAAGGCCTATGACCAGTGCAGTATCTGTTGATAGTGCAAAATATTCGAGGAGTAATATTTTTTATCCAAACGGAAATGTTGTCAGTGTCAGCAGTTGCCTATCACGCAATATCCAAACATCAAAATTAATTCAAATGAGTGTCTATAAAACCATGTCTTAAATATTTCAGAATTTCTATAAAGAGATGGGACCTTGAATTGATTTAGCTTACTCCATGTGGATCGGAGACGAAAACTATGTGAGAAGAATAGGGACTTTCTGGAATATCGGACGGAGTGAAATATAAGTTTATTTCCTAACTATGAGAATATTATTTGTTTTGATTTTTGTTACAGCATACTTTTTTTACATGTAGGGTGGGGGGGGTACATTGGTATATTTTAGGAGTAATAACATAGTTCTGTCATTTTAATTATAATTCACTGGAAATGATAGCAAGGTATGTTTAAAGAATCTTGCCTCCTTCAGGAAACGTGGAAAGGTAATAAAATAGGTAATAATCGAATCAATTAAATAATTACTTAATTGTCTCACATATCAGATTAATGTGAAATTATGGCAGAACTAGGCAAACAAACACTATATACATATCATGGCTGAACAATCACTTGGTACTAAGATAGCTAGTTTGTTTTAAGATATATTTGGTCTTTAAATAATATGTTTACTAATAAGATTATTCAGAGAGTGATCACTAGTATCATCACTCATAAGAAAGTTATTTCAACATCCAGAAAATTTGAAAAAACCCCAAAGGCTACGTTTTGTTCACACCCAGGCATTATTCAGTCTTGGAACCAAATAACTTACAGAATTCTAAGTTGACTGTTCATGTAACTGGAATGGATATTGAAACATATAATATTCAACCCCGATTTCATGTAATACTTCTTAGACATCATCAGCTTTTGAGGAGGTTACCAAAATTTGAAGACTGAGCCAAAATAGTGTTTATTAAGATGTTGGTTGTGGACAAATTGTTCAAGGTTTGTTGATGCTTATTTGGAAAATAAGCTTAAATTCATATTAAATTGCATACTGGTTTAATTGCAGGAGGTGAAAGCTTCAGGACATTTTCATGTATGTTTTCCTTAACTTTTGTTATGACTTTTACCAAATTTTTAAGCAACTTTAATATAATTTTGATGACACTAGTAAGTATCTCAGAAAAGGAAATAGATCAGAATTAGTGTTATGTCCCTAAGGGATATGGTCTCAGATCTAATAAGATTATCAATGTTTAAGAAGCAATAATGTCAATATGTAATTTTATTGACAAAAAGCTTTAAACTTTGAATATATTCTTTGCCTCTTGTTTACATTAGTAGTTAGCAGTTAAATATATCTGAAGAAAAAGCAGTATATTTATATGTTGTGTAACATTCTATTTCAATGCTAGTTAACTGTTCGGATAACTGTGGATCCTCTGTTCAAAGATTTTGCATCACACGTTTCCTATTTATGGAAGATGTGTCAGTGTACAGGTGCAGACTGTATCTTGGATTCTTTGTGTTTATGGTGGTGTGACATACCTGTAGATGAATTCTGGCAGTTCATGAAGTCCATTATAGTGGAGGTTTGTAGATTAGGATACCACAACAAAGTACACATAGAAAAATAAATTGGAAAGGATTATTAAAAAAATGGATTTCCTTATATTCAGTGTCATTTTAAGATGGTGTACAGATTTTGAAGAGAGAAATTTTACTGAGAATAGCTGCAGATTAGCTGCTGGATATTTGCTTCTGGGTATATCAAGATACATCCATGGAAACATACTGTGTTAACAGGTCCAGTAATGTTTTCCAGATAATATCTACAGACAAACAAGGTGGAAGAAGTAGTAGACGAGATACTGTTTTCCTGCGTTGTTCCTTGAAAGGTAGAAACCAATGTTTTCACAAACTTCTAATTTAACTAAATTTGAACAACGGATAAAAAAATAAAGGTGGCACGCGCAGTTTTGACAATCTTTTTATAGATGCCGAAACGATCTGCAACTTGCACATGTGGTAGTGTTCACGGTTTTTATAATATTACGATGGGAATTTTTTAGAAAATGCAACAAACAACATAATTCAGTTACCTTTCCCCTGCTAATATCTTAGATGAACGTGAATAGCCGGATAGATTATTTGGTAGAAAATACGCTTCCCAATCTCAGCAGCTGGCTGAGACGATTTTTCATCGGGCATGTAAATCTAACTACATTTTCACTCGCCAACTATACAACCTGTCAACTGAAATATATTGAAAATAAAATACGTATAACTTTTTAAATATCATTCACAAACGACGGATACCAAAGTACAACAAACAGAATTCATCAACAACATTCGCAATCACGTACGTTTCGCCGGCGGTGACGCCATTGTGATTAGTCAGTAGTTGTCCCCCCTAACGTCAAAAACGAAGTGGGCGGGGCTTATCGGCCGGGACTGGATTCATTTCATTGAGTATTTTATGTTTATTAGTTGTCGAGTTAGATTGCAATTCATCGGTCCGCTTTTGAGCCAAACGGACTATACAATATGACGCAACATACATTTGTCCGACAGTTTTACGAACAAACATTATTTATCAAACAAATTGCAGGAAAGTATCAATATTACCAAACGCAAATTGCTTTGGGAAACAGTTTCATTCATCTGCACGTTCTGCATTGCCCGTTAAAAAATCTGTTAAGCAACACTTTAAATAGTAAAGGAAATGTGATGTTTACACTCCGGGAGTGAAGTGTACTTGAACGCATGTCGACAGGACATGTGTAGTGAGCGACACACCTTAAGGTGTAATTACAATTCTCCAAAAACCCGTTACAAAGAATAGAATCGGGTGTTCAGGAAACGAATTAAACCGGACGGAAGCGCAGATAGACGCACGCACGTACGCACGCACACAAACAAACAGACACACAGAAAATAAAAAATAGAACACATATGCTAGAACAAGAACAAAAATAGATAAAAATACTAGCAAACTAAAAATGTGTATGTCTGTTTCATGTGAAGATTGTTGCCTCACGCCCATCCTAGAATACAGATTGTTTTAGGTTTATTATTTAATGCATATACACAGAATCTAATTATAGAGTGCCACGCAACGCCAGATGCAGGACAGCATTATAGCTCACACACATGGCTGAGAGGTACAGATCAGTTGGTGAGTGAGTGAGTGAGTTTAGTTTTACGCCGCACTCAGCAATATTCCAGCTATATGGCGGCGGTCTGTAAATAATCGAGTCTGGACTAGACAATCCAGTGATCAACAGTATGAGCACCGATCTGCGCAATTAGGAACCGATGACATGCGTCAACCAAGTCAGCGAGCCTGACCACCCGATCCCGTTAGTCGCCTCTTACGACAAGCATGGGTTACTGTAGATCATTATTCTAACCCGGATCTTCACGGGTCGGTCAGTTGGTGAATATCCTTCACAACACCTACGTCAGTGGTCAAATGGTCGCGGTCACTAACACATGCTAGTTATTATATTATCCTGTATATGGCATGTAATGTGGTACTATGTAATTGTATACATTGCTGTGCGTTATATATGACAGTTATACAATTTTAATTTATTGTAATACCGTTACTTCTTGGGGAATTTCAATCGGGATAAAATATGCACATCACAAACAATAGTACCTTGGTATGGCCGCTAAGGGTTTATCATCAATCGTTAATTAGTTAGACGAGGTTAATAATTAGAACTTATTCGTCGAGGGAGTTTCTGATCGTGCATATCAGTAATATGAACACATTATGCGAGCTTTGTGGGAGCTTGTTTCCCCTCTGTATCATGTCCATAGCACGGAAACACACTGGTAACAATATTGATTCATGTCGTTCCTAAATGGAAAGTGTACACGAAAAAAAAATCACATTTATTCTTATGAGAAACAAAATGGAATTTTAAAATTTGTTAATATCAATATTTGAAAATATGCACGTATTTTTTCTTACAATGAAAGTATAACCCGCACTGTAAGTGCTGAAATGTTATGCCGTTATGAGG